AAACAAAATGAACAAGACAAAAAATCCCTAGACTTAACACCCTACATATCAGGGAAGTTTTCACTGTATTAGAGAAATGAAAAAAAAAATACTATTTTTACAACAGAACAGAACAGATCAACAGCACAATCTGAAATCTAAAGCACAATCTGAAATCTAAAGTTGAAAAAAGGAAAAACATGAAATAATGATGCAAACATGGAATCATCTGTGATTTTTATATTGAAGATGAGAGCAAATAGCCATTTAGAAGAAATAGAAAAACTACATGAAGACAAATGCTTATTCAGAGTAAATTTCTGCATATTTGATGGTGATACATATACATAGGAATAAAAATAAGCATAATGAAACTTCATTATGAACTACCTTGCATAAGATTACATTGCTTATTATTGGTAATATTAAAACAGGACATTTATATTCTATTATAAAGTGCTATAATAGAGTATTATAGAATAGAGCAGTGGTGGCGAACTTTTTAGAGATCAAGTGCCCCAAAACTGGCCCCGCCCTGCTCCACCCCCTACCCCGCCCTCACCCCGTCTACCTGCAGGGCCACTCACCACCTCCAGGGCCCGCTGCAGATCGTCCAGTAGTGCCATGGCAACCACACCCTCTGCCCGCGCCCCGCAGCATCAACTATGAGCAATGGGGCGTGAAGGCAGAGTCTTGTCTGCCTGGCTGCCATGTCCTTGACTGCACTGCTCCACGTGGGCCATGCTTGGGGGCGACTCTTCTCCAGGAGGGCTGCTGGTGAGGAGGGGGTCACAGGGGGAGGCAAGTCTGGGGCAACGGCACGTGTGCCCACAGAGAGGACTCCGAGTGCCGCCTCTGGCTCCCATGCCATATGTTCGCCACCACTGGAATAGAGTATTATTGTAATAACATGTTTAACAAATCATAGAATACTCTTTCCACTAAAAGCATATTAACCTTCCCACAGTTTATGTAAGTTACTTCCAAGCCTGTTTCTATTGTGAGGTTTTATTTGGGGGAGGTTTCTGCCTCTCAAAGTCACTACTGTTAGAAAGTTTCCGACTAAGTCCAATTCAATTACTCACTCCATATGCCTTTCATGCCAGATGAGAGGAATCTAAAAGACAATTAGAACATATAACTTTAAGGTTTTTTTATCTATAGATTTTTGTTGTGATGAGATTGCAAATTATAATTTCAAGCAGATTTAAGAAACTAAGAATGCACAATTTTTTTGTAAGCAAAATATTGCCATTTGCCACTTCTTCTCTTCTTATCTATATTTCACACAGAAATGAAACACCCAGTGAAATTATACTCTAAGTGTGATGAAATTTCTGATGTCCTCTGCCAGTTTCCCACAATCAAAGTCAATGGAAAACTCACAGGAACTTGGAAGTCACAGTTACTTGAGGTCCTCACTTAACCACCCTTGCAGTCCTTAATGACAGCATCTGGGACTGGTGGAACTGTCATCACTAAGTGACATGGTCATGTAGCATCACACTTTACGAATGCATTGCTTAGGGATGGCAATTCTGATCCAAATTGTTATCATAACCCAAGGACTACCTGTATTGGGAAGTATGTGCCTATATGCCCATTTTAGGACAAGAGTCATTTTCAGAAACTTGAGAATTCTGGCAATGTAATAAGTGTTACAAGACAAACTAAATTTGATGCCATATGTTCAGAAAACAGCTACAAAATTTTGTAATCTTTTTAAAAAATACAAATAATTATAACAAAAAACTACTGATAATCTAGAAACATGGTAGAATGTCTGAGTATACACTTTTATGGACATCTTTTTACACATTTGAGTAACTCATCTATACTTTAGTTATTTTAAAATTTCAGATTTACTTTAGCAGATTATAACTCTCTGTTCTCAGCATTACTTAGGCCACTAGCCTTGGTTTCTGGCGCCTGGAATGTTGCCATTGAAAACACAAATATCTTGTTCTATTTGGGGGGAGGGGGCTCTTATTTAAATATGACCTGGAATACAGTAAAATTTGACATTTTGAGGAATTTCAAGAACAACCAACAAGCAATTGCTGCACCTTGTTGAGATTTATAGGAAGACTACAATTAGTAAAAAAAAAAAAAAAAAAAACCTACACACATACAGACTTACAATCATTTGTTAAATGACTATTTGAAGTTACAGTGGCACTGAAAAAAGTGACTTATGAATAGTTATCATACTTACAACCATTGTAATATCCCAAAAGTCACATGATCATAATTTGGGTACTTGGCAATAGCATGTATTTATGACAGTTGCATTGTCCTGGAATCATATGATCAACATTTGCAATGTTCCCAACAGGCTTCTGACAAGCAAAGTCAATGGAGGTATCCAGATTTGCATAACGACCACATGATTCATTTAACAACTGCAGTGATTCACTTAACAACCATAGCAAAAAGGTCCTAAAATGGGATGTGACTCACTTAACTGCCTTGCTTAGCAATGGAAACATTGAACTCAATTGTAGTCATAAGTCGAAGTCTACCTGCATGCAAAAGTCAGTATCAATACTTTAATAAATACATTGCATTACTGATTCATTATGTCATTTATTTTAATGTATCAACATTGTCATTTTTACTGAGTAATGAAAAAGAAGATAACATGTTCCATCTCTACCAATATGTATGACAATATTAATTATTTTAATTTCCTCACTAACTCAGCAGCAGCAACATCACAAGGGTGGAAAAAAAAACCAAAAGAGAGGAAAACTCAAATTATATGACTTGATTGGATTATGACTTCCTCTATTTCTCAGTATAAAATTATTTTCACAACACACAATAAAACCTAGGCATATAAATGAATCTTCACCACTATTGGATTTGTAAAGTTATTAAAGAAAAAAAATCTTATTAAAGCGTTCTAAAGGACAGAAAACCAATTTTTCCTCTTTTATTATTTTAAATATATATTATTAACAGCTAGCAAAGGATCCTGGTCATATTAGAATTATGACATGGAAGTAGAATATTTGCGTGTATCTGTATCCAAATAGTGTTACAATTATTATTTTCATATCATTTATTACTGTTCTGTATCACATTGGGAATGTTAAATGAAACTGTTACATAATTATTCTTCCTAATTATGACATACCTGACAAATCTGTTATGTGGTCAACTATTATAGTCAACAGGCTAAGAAACAACAAAGACTTTACTTTTAATCTTGCTTCTACTCTAAACCCACTAAAGGGCTTTACCTAAAACGCTACTCCTTCCTTCAGTCTTAGCCCTCTACCATACGGCAAAAGAAAACAGCCTACCTTATAGGGTTCTACTAACTATTAAATACTGTGCTTTATTGAAGTTTATAAATTGAAGTTTATAAGTGCTAGTTATATCTAATAAATCTAAGTACTCCTTTCTTACTGGCAAGGCAAAAAACATTGCCAAGGCTCCATACTGGTGCTTCTTCTCTCTCTCCTTTATAGTTTTGCTACAATATAGAAAGAGCAGCTTCTAATTTCTCCTTGCAAGGACCACAGAAGTTCAATGCACAATTGATGCTAACCATGATGTTAATATTTACTGCCACAGTAAATCCTATTATCATCCTGAAGAGTTTTGGCTGACTGGAATGAAGTGAGTCAAGGACTTAAGTTTAAGAAGCAGTCTATTACACAGATATTTTGTTTTTCAATTTACCTGAATTGCAAAGGAACACTGATTCTTTTTGAATTACCCAGCGCTCTACATCAAATTACGTGGATGTCATCTTATCCACCAGCACCTTGATATTAGGTAGAATAAAGAACCACGAGGGGACTGAGGTACGCTTGCTGAATAAGTGATGTCTAGTCACAAAATGTCAGTGTTTGCAATTAACAAGCTAAGCTAAATATATAGGTAAATGGGAGAAGTTGGCTGTGTTTCTGTCACCTGAACCATTCATGCTATGCAAAAACAGTCAAACCCCTCAAAGCCTTTTTAGAATTGAGAAGCATTTAAATTGCAGCAATAAACAAACTGAAAAAGAAACACTTGTTTGTTTAAATAAATAAATAGGATTTGGTGTGCTAGTTTGGTGTACTGGTTAAGGTACCAGGCTAGAAAGCAGGAGAGCACTGAAATAAATTTCATCCTCATCACCATCATCATCATCATTGAGTTCTAGTCCCACTGAAGCAAAAAGTCAACTGAACATCCTCGGGCCAGTCATTCCCTCTAAGAAGCAGGCAAACCACTTCTGAAAAACCTTGCCTATAAAACTACAGGAACTAGACCAGTTTCCAGAAATCAATGCTGACTTGAAGGTATCAAAAAAACAAAAAGCTTCAAATATGTTTTCTGATCTTGCACATGCCCCTTTGATATTTGTAGAAGCAGCCCACCATTTTCCAGACATCTGTGTAAGCCTGAAAAAATATGCTGCTGTCTTAAGGAGTGTTTACTTTGGGCATTTCCCCTCTTTCTTTGTATGGCCATATGTGGCCATCAATTAAAAAATGATTTGTAATGGTAACATAAGAACTCTCTGCTTGAATATGTGTGTTCTAAAGGAAAAGCAGTCCAGTTGCTGAAGTTTCTGCAACTTTATTCCATTTCTTTTCAAATAAATTTTGTCAAAGGAAATGCTAGGAGAATCCTGCTTTGGGTTGAAGTAGGCTGCCAAAAGCTTAATATGACTATATGTGTATGATAACTGGCACAAGTATGTAAGTTACAGCATTGATGTGATAATAGTGTAATGCATGTGTTACCACTGCCTCTCTGTGGATTCCTGTTCAAGCAACATATTCATATTTAATGCTCCTTCCAATATTTACATTTGGAGAAAGAAAAAAAAACCTGGGACAAATTAAGTGAAATATGTTAGCACCATTTTATAACAACTGCTATCTCAATTGGTTTCAATGAAAGCATTTATAATAAAACAGAAGAGTAGATACAAACTTATTCATTGAATAGAAATATGTCTGATATTATTTTTCTCATTATCCACTTGGTGGCAGCAAACACCGAAGTTTGATTCTTACCTGCAGATGTTCACTTCCTGTTCTAAGTCCTTCAAGTTGCTGTAACTGCCAAGGAGATAGGCTATATGATTCCTCAGAAGGCCTGGATTCTGGAGGGTTTGTACGAAATTGTTCTGTAAGCCACCTCTGAGTCCTCTCAGAAGACTGAATGGAAACTGCAGCCTGTGGTTCCAAAGTTATATATTCTTGATGAAAAGCTTCAGAGTTTAATGGAGCAGGCTTGCTTTCAGGTAAGGCACTATAGGTCATATCTAAGGCATGTCTCCTGTTTGAGGCATCAGGAACCCCCCAATCTTCTTTGCTGCAACTTTCAAATTTGTATTTGCAATTCAAAGTAGAATTTTTTTTCTTCCCATTTTCTCTGTCCTCAGACTTTAATAGTTCCATACTATTGTACAAGCAATTTGACCCACTTTTTCTTAATTGTGGTGAAACAGTCTTGTCTCTTCCATTTGTATCCAAGTTGGTCCTGCATTCTGCTGAATAAACATCCCCATCCTGGTTACAACTAAGAGGTGTGCTGAGTTTAGACAACGATGACCACTTCCTTACAGGCCTCAAATCTTTCATATCGAGAGAGCTGTCCAACATGCCCTGATGCCTGCTTTGAGCAGATCTCAAAAGGCTTGTGCTCCACTTTGTAGAGTTGGACTTGAGAGGATCCCTATGTTTTGAAAGCGAAGTGTTGATATGAGATGGCATTACATGGGCTGTGGGAATCGAGACCAACGAGCGGCTGGGCTTAAACAAGGAAGTACCACTTGATGTGGAATGATCTGGGAAGAAAGATTTTCATCATGTGAGTTCTTGTGAAATAGCCAATGTTAATGGGAATAACACAAAGAAATTAGTTTAATTTATTTAAAATATAAATTTAATATATCCACGAACATCGACAGATGTAATGGCAAGAGATGTTGCATTGTATCATAGCACAAATGACTCAAATGATCTATTAAAGTTCTTTTGCATCATAATATAAAATTATGCAAGCATTTTATTCAAATCATTTGCATCATGGAACATAATTCTAACATCACCATGACTTTTAAGACTATATGTTTAAGACTTTTTTCTACAAAGATATATATATGGACATTTGGCAACAACTGCTATGAATTCTACCCTATCACTAGTAAGCAACCATGCTGAAATACACTGTTGTATATAAACTCTGAACGGGTTCCTCTTACAGAGAGTTATAGCAATCAAATGTTTACCAAGAAACATTTCTTTCTCCTCTAACAAGCCAGTCTCAGACTAGAATTTTGTAATTAACAAATAATTTGACTTGCTAAGAAAATAACTGCATGCAGATACACACACACACACACACACACACACACACACACACAGCTAAGTTTTTAATAATAATATCTGGATGCAGTTATCTGATCCTCTTTGCAAAAAGAGCTGAACTAAAGCAAATAGATTCTGTATAATGTTCATTTTGTATGAACATAGTCTATGAGAACTGTTATTTATTTTATTTTATTTTATTGAATTAATCGTTTTACTTCTTGTTATTCAATTTTGGGAGAATGGTTTTGGTTTTTTTTTTTTCTTTAAAAGCAAGTACAAATGCAGAAAGTTTAAGACCTATTGCATACAATTTACACAATTATAAAGTGTATTCATACTTAATTCTTGTAAGAAATCCATTTATTTAGCAGGTCTTACAGTTGAGAGACAAATACAAGATTAAGACCTAACAGAATTTGTAGCAGAGATGTGGAAAAGAAAAACAATTATACACCAAACTATGGAGGTCAATAACATGCCAGGAAATAAAAACTATAATAATTATTTTGTTGATTGGTTGGTTTATGAAATTCGATAATGAGAAACTAGAAAATTTAAAAAAAACACTGTTGCTTTTTAGCAGTAACTTCTAAAAATAATTTTAAGTAACTAAAACGGAAGTTGCACTAGATAAGTAGAACCTAAACATTAGGTGACATGTAAATGCTATTGTTCCTGTTTATGATAGTCAAAAGGCTAATATCATTATAAGAAACGTTCAAATAGATAGACAGACAATATAGATATGCAATAAGCTAGAGCCAAAAAGGTAAGAATGCTTCCAAGGTTTGGTATGTCCCCTTTGTTGCAACAATCCCTACAATATCATATGAATTTCCCCAACTCTCAGAAGGAGGCCTCTGTGGGGAAGAGGAGGCTGCAGAAGAAAGGAAAATGTGAAAAGATTCTACTGCGTTCATAAAACAGGAGGCCAAATCAAAGGCCATACCTGGAAAAACACAGAACGTTGCAATGGTGTGACACCTGTCTCAGTTTTCTCATTCTGGCTCTATTCTCAATCTGAAATATCAGAAGGTTTACAGAAAATCCCAATGTGCCAATGTTCCTAGACACATAAGCAAGTTAAAATTAACATAGGTGAGGCAGAGGCAGCTCTCCCGTGACAAACATCTGCTGCTTTGCATCAAAGTCTGCAGAGATGCAAAAATAAACAGCTAATCCTGGTATTAGAACCTCCTACATTACACAGCTCAACCTCCCCCCCACACTGCTGCTTACGTTGCTGTTACACAGGAGGCTTGTTAAAAGTCATATCATTTATTCTTATTATCAGATTTCTGATTTTCTGAAATGGAGAAACAACTGAAACTTTCTTTCATGTTACTGCAATTTCTCTACAACTTTAACTGTTTGCAGAATTCAAGAAATAAGTACTGTACATAAATTTATTTAATGGTACTCAACTCTTTGGGTAAAGAATCGGCCACAGAAATCCCTGGAAGTCACAGAGCTGTGATAGGTAGGAATCCCCAAAGATCGGGCTTGAATTCCATTATACATGATACTTCTCATATTGCATTTCACAGATATATATCTATTAATCAATGTAGCCAAAGACATCGTTAATTATAAAATATTTGAATCTAATTCAAGTATTGTAAGATGTTATACTAAATGTTAACCATTCTGAAGCATCTGGATATAAACAATGGTTCCTGTACCATGAGGCTGGCAACAATGAAAATTTAAAATCATATTTGGATATGCAATCTTTCCTATGTGTTAAGATATTGTACTTTTTTTCTGGTCATGGGCCTGACACCTCCGATTTTAATTGATGGTGGTGTTTCTTCTTAGGGTAGGAAAGTAAATTTTCTCTGAAACAGCACACAAAGAAGATCAATCATTCCAAAAGACTGACTCTTGGGCTCATCTTCTTTCAAGCCTGGTAGTTATTTAAGCCCAATAACACTACTGAAATTCAGAAGAGGCCCTAACCCTACCAAGATGTAATGGGTCATTAAGCAAGGGCCTCATGTGACTTGACTTACTGCCAGCTTCTCCATTTACTTTGTATGTTGGCCTCTGGAAAGGAAGCCACAAATTATTATCAGAGAGGCTTTGTGAAGGGTCAGCAACTGCCTCAACTGGGTGTTCTTCTTCAGCAATGGGAGGAAGAAGATGGCCATGGTCAGCTGAGAGCAATGGGGAACAGCAGTGGTTGGGAGCAGCAGAGTGTTGGATGGCCAAAAGGGCAGGGATGGGGGGAGGGGGGAATAGGTGAGTAGTGGAATTTGAAGTATACCTGGCATTTATAAATGTAGGCAGGTTCCAAGCACCCAGATTTTTATCAGGTGATTGTGGGGACACTGCAATGCCTGTAACTTTGGGGATCCGCCATAACTACCATTTGGTCAGCGTCGTCATAATTTTGAAAGTCACTGAACAAATGGTTGTTAAGTAAGAATTAATTTAAAATACCACTTACTGGAAGAAGAAGCACTATTTAATATTTTTCTGCTCATCTAATCTGAGCATTTTAAATTTGAATAATATATTAGAAACATCTTTCCCATCCCAGTTGCATTACATAGAACAGACGATTAACTGACCAATATATGTATATTTAATCAGCTATAAATTCACTGGGACATATACTCAGGTAATAGGATTAAGTGGAAATAAACAGATGGGTAGAATTTGGCATGAGTTCGTCTGGAATTAGACAGACAAGGATAGGAGATCATCAAGGAATACAAGAATTGTAGGCTATATATGGAAGACAACAAAAATATCTTAGAACGTGGCAGTGGCAGACTACTGTATTTCTGTATTACCATGAAGAAAACTACATGGAATTGTAAAGCTACTAGGAATCAAGCTCAAGGTTTTTACCAATGCTTAATAGCAGCTGCATTCAGTTTCCTGTGGATATTGTTAGAGCAGGGGTGTCAAATTGCCGGTCCGTGAGCCTGATGCGTCACCAGGAAACCGCGCCCATCCCATTACCGGCAATGGAGAAAAAGCTGATAGCCGCGCAATGTCACGTGACGTCGTGTGTTTGTCATGTCTGTGTTAGAGGAACAGTCATGGTAGGTTTACTCTGAATAACAAGTAACTCCCCCCCCCACCTTAAATTTTTCTTCTTTAACTGTAACTCAATGAAAAGGCAGCTTGCATTCTGATGGGTTCTGCACACCATTCAGCTCTTCCAAAGTCTCATATTTTGAAGTCTGTATTGATTGCTGGTTCCAAGTAGAGTAAAAAGTAGAGTGAAAGTAGAGTGAAAAAAACAGGAGTTAATCTAATTAAACAGAGATGATAATTTCCAACTGTATAACCAGGAATCATATGATAATCACTGGGACACATATAATTTTGCCAAGTCATTTGCACTGTTCAGGTATTCAGTTACCATTTTTAATCCACAGTTAAATGAATGTGTACAATGGTTGTTTTCACCATCAACAATGAAAAAAAGGTGCTAAAAGTATTTCTATTCAAGAAGTTGTGTATCAACAACATGACTTAATGATACCTCTGTGGGGTTTTTTCTATTTAAAATAAATGTTAGCTACAGAATTTTATTTCACTGTAGAGTAATTTCTACAGGGAACAAAGTAAGCAAAAGAAATGCCCCTACAATGTTTAAAGTGTTACAATTTTTTTCTTTTTGATGAGGCTACAAGGCAGCATAGTGTGGGGTGGCTTACAAAACAAGTTATTCAGGCCAACCCTTTCTTGTTCTTTCATATCATTATGGTCTGCACCCAAAAGCATAATATTGCATTTTTCTAACCACCAACCACACTCAATATCTTAATGTTCTACTATAGAGCTATATTGAAAAATGTAAGTAGGTCTCTTTTTTCACTGAACAAGCCAACAATAGGCTCAATTGCATTAAGATGCAACTGCTCTGCTGTGTTCCTGGCTAAAAAAGAGAGACTAACACAACAGAAGTTGCCATAGTACCGCAAATACAAAGCCAAGATAGATACAGTTTGCTAGCAACCTACTTAATCGGTTAAACTGGCTATTTACATAAAAACTGCCTTACCAAATCAGGTCATAGCCCCATGAAATTCACTATTCAGTTTTCAACAGACAGAAGCCAGATGCCATCAAGAAGCTCAACAATGAAGGCTATAGCCCTCCAGGACTAGAAACACATTGTTTCCATTACATGAAAACGGAGAACCATTAAAAGCTTATGGTCAATGAATTTCTCCACTGACCTTTAAAATCAATAGCTATCATCACTGAATATCAATTATAAACCAATTCAAGAGAATTAAATAAATGATAAATGGTATTTTAAAAAAATATACACAAAGAACATCTCACATATTATCATAACTATTGTTACAGCTGTAAATTTAATAAAAGTCATTGCAAGAACAATCCTAGAAATATAGTGTTACCATCTGTATTATTTGAGATACCTCATTTACAGATAGTTCCTTCTATATTAGAAGGCAGATCTTCTAATGCTTTATTTCTGCCTGTAGAA